ATATACCTTTTTCTGTGTTACTACTAATTGTTAGTTGCAGCCTGGTAACAAAACTAACGAAGGACCATCAGAAAATTAGTTCTGCTGTGATATGCTCAGATGTTAATATGAAGTATCCTTGTGATGACCACAGTGACAGGATTTGTCTGCAGTGTTTCCTACAGCATTATGCACATGTGAAGGAAAGGTGGCTGCCAAATGGGACAATCTGCGGTCTTGGTGGAGAAAACTAACAGGTACTTCTTCAGGTTGTCAGCTGCCCCAGACAGGGTACGAAAAAATTTAGAATTGACCCAAAGGCTGAGTGTTTTTCGTGGGCAACGCCAGTGTGGCTTTGCTGCACTGTGAAAACACAGGGATACAAAGCCCTCTGCATGGGCCACAAGAAAAGGACTCCTTATTCACTAACCCCCAGTGTTCAGAAGGAGTGCTGTAATACCCCACCTCCACTCGTCACACCAGTTGTCTGCAAGTCAGACCACTTGTCTGCCTGCAGTTCTGAAGGAAACTGCCACCCACCTTGCTGTCCTTGACTTCCAGTTCTCGTGGCTGGGTGTGAGCTGTACCTGCCCCAAAGACACCTGTTGCTCTGCCCTTCCAGTGCACTGATGTCCCACCAGGGAACCCACCCCTTGCCCAACCCATTAATACTGGCTGGCAGACACCTATTTCTCACCAAACCCTTTCATCCAGAGAAGTGTGTGAGCAAAGGCTGGGTGTGTCTACTTAGTGTTTAATACTCTGAGAGGGACTGCAGGAGTGTTCCAGACTAACACACAGACTTTTGGGATGGGAAGCTGGCTCCCCAGATTTTTTGTGCTCGTACCTTTGCAATCAGTGTTGAGGTAGAGGAAGTCTCAGTGAAGATCCAGGTGTTTGCTTGCATGCTAGAAGACTGTCTGAAACAGGCATCCCTCACAGTAATACAGAAGAGGAGGCAAGGGGGAAGACCACAAGGTTCTGCCAGGCACTGAGCTCTTCTCGGACTTTCTGAGACCTTCCAGATACTACTTTCTCCATGATCCAGCTGACTGATGGGATAAAATCATGCCTGGGTCACAGCTAATGAAGTCTAAAAAGGAAGACGAGTCTTTTAACTCACACTGCTGTTTCAAGGAGCTGCCTTTTTCAGCAAGATATTGGGAGTGAAGGAATTTTTTCTGTCCCAAAAATTGTTCCAGTTTAACTCACTGAAGTGCAGGAGCTAGTTTGGTTGGGCACATGTTAGTCTGAGGAATATACTTTTGAGAAACACAGCAGGGCATTCATACTGTGATGAGACACTGTTTTGTGATCTGCATTTGGCTGATGCCAGCCACAATCAGCAGCCCTTGGAGGAGACACGCTAACAGGAACCTGTGGTGAACTGATGCAAAAAAACAGCCTGTTGTGGCAGTGGCCTGATGCTGCCCCTCCTACTGTGAAGTAATCAGTCTTGATTTAAAACCCACATCTGGTCAGACAGCCCATTCTTGGCCTTTCTTTACTCTCATCCCAGATGCTCTTGTGGTAGGTCCTTAGCATATGGCCAACCTTCTGCTAAAGACAGAAGTATTTTCTGAATGCCCCTGTCTTCATCCCAGCTTGTTCATCACCTCCCAGGGCAGTTTCTCTCCTGTGAGAGCTGGCGGCTTTCACCTGGGGTGCTGTTTCACCTTTGTGTTTCAGCTGGCAAAGCATCTGGCACAGGGTCAGGTTCATGAGCACTGGTGGGGGCTGATGGAGAGCCTACGTGTGTGCTGACACACCCTCCTCATCTAGACAGGAGGGAGCAGGCACAGCCAGGGCACAAACTATAAGAGTGTGATTCGTTACTGTCTCGTTGCGTGGGTCAAATGTAGGGCAGAGCTGGGCAGCAGAAACAAACCACTCAGCCTGAATCCCAACTCATCTGCCAGTCCTGCACGAATGAGGAACATGCCCAGTCAGTGCACATCTTATCTCACAAAGGGCATCACTGGGAAAAGCCAAGCTCTGCTCGGTTTCTGGCTGATCAATGCAGTGCTGGGAGGATGCTGGGGAAGCTGAGTGGGTTCATAACAAAGCCATGCAGTCACTTGGTGTCCCCATGTTTTCTAAGAGGTGGCAGCACCTGTGCTCTGAGGTAGCTGTCGCTCACCATGGCTTTTGGACCTCTCTTCAAGCAGTCAGTCAGTTGTTTCCAAACAGGAGGGCAGTAATTCCTTTCTCTCCTGTTTGGCAACTTGTGTGCTATTTCACAGCCCACTGGCCCAGCCAGTCTTTCTCTGTGAAAGGCTTGGTTCTTGTGGGATGTGGGATGCTTTTGCATTTGTCCATTGCTTTTGGCCTCCTGGTGGCATTGGCGTTAATGGGATGGCAGGTTACCTGTCAGGCTGCCCAAGAGTACTGAAGGGTAGAACGTGAGCTTCCACTGAGCACTGTGAGCAGCAGTATTCCTGGCACTGGGGCCTGAATGAGACAATTTACCCTTGTCACACAGCATGATAGGGCTGATAAATGGTCATAGCACAGATGGGTATGCACAGGTTAGTGAATTGTCAGAGGCCACAGAAAAAAATCTATGTTAGTACTGGGATGACGATGTGATACACCATCTTCCTCAGCCCACTGCATTAATGACAGGACCCTGCTGCCTCATCCGGGCATGCAGAGGTGCTTAGCACCTCCAGCAGGTGTCCATGCCAACAGTCAGCCTCGATGTGTTTTATGCCAAGTGAGGAATAGGAGGAGAAGTGATCAGCAATAAAACCTCCTCACCACAGCAGTCCCTCAGCTTTGCAGAGTCAGGGCAGTCTGTCTGTCTGCCCACCCCGCAGTGGCCAGCACAGTTCTGTCATGTCAATATCAGCAGCTTTCCTTCCTGGAGAAAACCTTGCTTTCTCCAGAACCTCGGAGCACATAATCGCTGCCCTCCCAGTGCAGTTCCTAATACAGACTGTGAGCTAAAATGAGCTCATCCAGACCTGCAGTTCTGTGCCTAGTGCTGGTGATGTTATTCCAGGCTAGCTGAGCTCTTCAACAGCAGACATGATATGAACCAGAACCCTCTGATGCAATTACAGCCCTGTGTACAACCTTGTGATGATAATAGGGCACAATAGCCAAGCAACCATGTCAGAGGTTTGAGAGGCATTTTCAAACCCTCCTTTTGATTAAAGTGTGCAGAGCCAGCATTGACCTGCGGCTGCTCACAACAAGGAAGTGGAGTAGTAAGAGGTGGGGGAGAAGGTGCAAGGAAGGTAGGCTTGGAGGCTACTTTGTCCTCTTGCCATAAAGGAGCATGATTAAAAAAAAGAGAAAAGCAAAGAAAAAAATACAAAGGAACAAACAAGATTGAAGACCAGCAGTGAAGAGCAAACCTCTTGTCTTGCCCGAGTGCAGGTGATGTGCCCGGTTGTAAGGATTCCAGAGATAAAGGCAGTCCTTCTCTTCAGGAATTCCTATTGTCATAATTTTTGAAAGCGTAGCTATTTCACCTTGAAAAGGCATCTCAGCATCCCCATCTTGGAGGCAAACAGAGCACTGGTTTCAACCAATATAACCCATGCACCCTCTGCCCAGGAGATGTGTTTGATGGCCCATGAGGTGCTGTGGGAGCATGTCCCTGAAGAACAGCTCATCCCTGCCCCTGGCAGGACCCTGTGGGCACAGCAGAGTCCAAGAAGGTTGTGGTCTTGTCCTCAGTGTTGCCAGTGCTTTGACTTATAGGTCTCCACTAAAAGCAAAATGTGGAAGCAGGGTGTCACATGTTTGATCATGATGGACGGAGGCAGACTCTCCCTTGACTCCCTGGAATAATTACTTTTTCTTACATTTGGGGTTCTGCATCTTTAGGAGTCTACCACTGAACCCTGGATTGTAAAGTATTCAAGACTTCCACTGAGGTACAGCAACATGACAATGACATCTTACTGAAAATGAAAAGAGCAGAAGGGATGGCAATCTTCCCTGAGCAAGCCTAACACTGCTACCAAATTCCCCTGCTGCATCACAGGCAAACCCAGAAAGAGCATTACTTTTGGCATGAATACACTTCCAGATTGCCTCCATTATACTCTTGCATAAGCATTGTTGCCATCGTAGCCGGTAGCATGTGTTAGCCCATTCAAGTTTTGCAAATGTTGGCATAAGGAAGATGAGGAAAAGAAACCTCTGGGGCATGAAGCAGCCGGCTTGGAAGGCTGATAGCCAGGCCTGTCTCCTTCTGGAGTGATATAAGAAGGCAGAGGAAAAAAGCCCAACTGAGGAGACGAGCAGAGTTTGCTTTGGCATGTGCCTTGCTTATTGTGGGAGAACCAACACCCAGAAAAAATGCTGCAAGCACACCGTGAGCCCTTGCCTGATTAATTGCAAAAAAATCCCGATGTGAGTAATGCTGCTGATAGGATCTGTCGTTGCAGGCAAATCAAGAAAGTTGTCATTTTCACAACAAATAAACTGCCGTTTTGATTGCCCTATTTACAGGTGCAGGTTAAGTGCACATATGTGTGCGCACATGTATATACCCCACGTAAAAAGGATGCATTGTGCTGCACCTATCATCTTATTGGGAAAAAAAAAAGTGAAGTAACAGTTAATTGTGTATCTCTGTATCTGCATGAAGCAACCGCGTAGCAGCTGTTCGGACACAGCTACTTCGAGTAACTCAACAGACCTTCACCAGAGCAATAAGAATTACGTCGTTTCGTGTCAGTGGAGAACGTGTTCCTTAGTGGGACAGCCCCCCGGGTTCACGTGCACGCATTTCCCCTTGTTTTCAGAAGGAAGCGCTCCTGCCCACGGCAGCGCGAGGAACGCAGCTCCCCTCGGCCGTGTCCAGGCACAGCGGCACGGCCACCACCCCGTGGGAGGCCCCCGGGGGTCTGCGCGGCCCCGCGGCGCACACAGGGAGGGGCCGCGTCCCTGCCCGGCCGTGCCGCTCCGCCCGCCCGGCGCGGTGCGGGCCGTGCGGGGCCGTGTGCGGGGCCGGTGTGCGGGGGTGCCATTGCACACTTCCTGCGGTGCGGGGCACCGGGAGCCGGTTTCCGGTGGCTGACAGGAGCTGGAGCCCGCAGCTGCCTCCTCCGGCGCGGAGTACCACACACCCCCGCACACACCGCGGGAAGGAGGAGGAGGAGGGAGCGGAGCAGCCCCCCCGCCGCAGCCCCCGAGCGATCGCGGTAACCCCCCCATGCGATGCGGGCGGTGTAGCGCAGCCCCTCCGCCCCGCGCTCCCCGGACAGGCACCTGCAGGTACGTGACCCGCACCGTGTGTGTGGATGCGTGTGCGGGGGGGTGTGCGTGGTGCATCCAGCGCTGCCCGCCGCGGGGGCGGGCGATATTCCCCGTATCTCTCTTTGTGCGCAGCCAAGGGCTCTCCGGGAAGCCTCACCGGGCAGAGGCAAGGCCCCCCCGGCCTTGGGGCGGACCTCTGTGCGGTGGCAGGGGTCGGGGTGCCCCCCATGGGCAGCACAGGGGGTGCCGATGCAAGGAGGGGGGTGGGGCAGGAGTGCCTGAGGAGTCGTGGTTTGGCAGGACGTAGGGAGCGGGGAGACACCTTCTCCCTCCCCCAGCCCACATTGCATCCTCCTGCAAAAAGAAAAGCGATCCCCCTCCCCGCGCTCCACCTCTAGCTCCGCTTTCCCCCCGGCTGAAATGGAGGTGGGCAGCCGCGGGGGGCCGCGGTTTGGGGACCAGAGGTCTGGCGGCTGAACCGAGAAGGGAGCAGGGGACCAGTGCCTGGTGGTGTAGTTTGGCCCCATGCAAGGTTCGGGCCCTCCAGCACCTCCCGCAGAGGGGCACAGAGGGGTCTCTCTGGTTCCCAGCCCGAGCAGGCAGTGGGGTGAACTCTGGGAAAGGCACCTCCTCACAAACTTGACTTGCAACCGGCACGAGGCAGGAGTGATAAGGGAAACCAGAAAACTGTGAAGGAAGCTCAGAAAGGATGGTTAAGTGCAAAGGAAAAGAGTGAAAACGATGGAGAGATACACCGAGCCTTCTGCAGTTCAATTCCAGCTGTCAGAAACAGAGCTACTCTCCAGCCAAAGGAATGACTATGATACATAGGTTAAAACTCATCTTCCATTTACAGTGTTAATGGTTATAAATATCCCCTGAACGCAGCTGCCAGTTCAGTAGTGCTAGATGTAGAATAAGGATGTTTTCATTCAAGTGAATGAAGATCTGTCATAGACACAAAACAATACACCTGGTGGTTAAAATGACGTCCCTGTATATATGGCTGGCTTTCAGCATTTGAATTGTTATCCATGAAGTTTGCTTTTGCCTGCCTTCTCTGCCGTTCCTCTACCATCCTTCTCAGAAATACACGCTTTGCCAGTAGTTGTTGCAATGGTAAAACTGTGATAGATGCTAAAACTTAGCTTTGAACTGGCACAGACTGTATAGGTTTTCATTTTTCTCTTGATTTGAAGAGAAATGGGACCAAGCACTTAGTATGCTTGATAGCAGCAGTGAGAATCTGCATAAAACACATGATGACATCCCTTTGCTACGTTCAGGATGACAGCTTTTCAGGTCAGGAACTAGGCTTGTTTTTCTTCACTTTTTTTCTCCTTTAAACTGAGTAACCCCAAAAGGTCAGGAGTGACCAGTTCCTGTTTCCCTCACGGCTACTTCTGTTCTCTGTATAATTCAGAGCTCGGACTGACAGGGCTGTACTCTTGTGGTAGTGCAATTAACCTAATAACCTCAGCCAGCAACATGCTGGGCCTGCACGCCTGCCCCACAGCACATGTGCATCATTTCAGACTGCTTTCGACTGACTGGCATTACCAGGAGCTGGGTAAAAACTGCCCTGGGGGTCAGATCTGCCAATTGTCTCAAGCTGATTTTTCAAACATCATTTTAGGCTTGGCTAAACCTGTTTTTACCCACTTCTAAAGCCAGACAAAAGTCAGAAGTCACGTGGTTCTTGCGCTCACCTGCTGTCTTGTGCTCAGCCTGGCACTCAACATGGCTAAGGGGGATACCAAGATCCTCTCTTCCCCTTTCGCCTGTGGATTTCAGCAAAACACTGTTTTTCAACATGGAGCTCAAGTTTATCGGCTCTTTGAAGAAGTCCTTTATAGGTAAACGAACAAAAGAACATGATAGTTTAAAAACCTTGCACCCAGAAGAGTAAGAGAGAGAAGAATTGGCAAAAAGATACTGTGTGATCTAAGTGTTATCAGGAAGTGTTGAGGGGCTAATAGGTGGTGTTAAATGTAGTGTAAAACTTGTTGTGAGAGAGATACACTCTGAAGTTACTATTTCTACTGTTGCCAGTAGCTAAGCTCAAGAGTGTAGCAGAGACCTTTGCATTCCGCTAAAATAACTAGGTTTCCAGGAGGTAACCTAAAACTTGTGGAAAAACTGTTAAAGCTCAAATGCTTCTCCAGCCATTGTTAGCAAACTGGTATTTCACTTTGTCTTGTTGTTTGTTATTTTTTGGGATTTTTTAAAGCAAATATATATTTATGTTGTTCCTGTACAGATGCATTTATGCATTGGTAATTGGTGTTATACCAGGAAGTTTCCTATAACTGAACTTACTGAAAGTTTCAAAAGCACAGTATAATTCTGTGCATTTCATTCATGCAGTGACAGTGGGTTTATAGTCATGAGTTCCTTAGCATTTCACACCTGACAGTCACTGGGTGCACCTCCCTTAAGTGACCGCTGATCCTCGCCTTGGTGCTACTTTGACTGGGCTGTCGTGTGTCCATGCACTGCAGCTCCATGGAGACTCCCAGAGTTTCATCAGTAACATCTTTTGGTGTTTTCAGTTTCCCAACTTTATACCTCTCTGCCTCCCTTTCCTGTTAGTTACAAAACGCAGACAGAAAAGGTCTGAAGGTCTTAAATGTGGACAGACATGTAATCCCAGCCTTGGCATTCACTTCCACAGTGCCACTGTATTTTTGACATCTGCATTCTGGGAGGGATAACCCGTCCATGCATGGCTCACAGAGGTGGTGTGAAAATTAACTACTGTTTGTAAGGCACTTTCGCAGAATGGTGTGTGGCAATTAGTCCTCTTGAGGATTGTTATGCATCTGGTAATTCAAGTGTAACTGGCTGAACATAATGCTCTGCTTCCAAAGGTTATTGCTGCACACCTCTTTGCAAAGTAAAACAGGGTGATATGAAGGGTAGTGACTTAAAAGTAGATTACATTTTTATTGTCTTTCTGGTCCTTTTCTGTGAAAAATGCTCAAAAATGAGCGTTAGTTTGAATCAAATGTTTCCTCGATGGATCTGCATTATAAGTCCAAGGAACTTGGCAGACTCGTACTGTAGTACTATTAATGACAAAGAAGACCCATGGAGCCTAACTGCTTCATCTTCAGTTACTTGACCTTGGCTCTGATTTGTTGATTTACTAACTTTATTTATTGGCCGGTTTGGTGAATTCTCTTGCAAGACAGAAATTTCAGCTTGTCAGCCCTCTCTTGTTTCCGTGGCAACGAGTACACCTCACAGATTCTGTAATGAGACCCTTGGCTGGCCACTGATTGTCTGCGTTTTTTTACTTTGGTAATTCCGGGCCCTGAAGTAAATAAAAGGTCTTGTTCATGTAACTGTCCAAGCTCAAAATGGAAACAGAAATAAAATAATAGATGACTTCTGCATGTGAGAATATGTTGTAACTTAGCATCAGTCGTACACGGTTGGGATGTAAGCAGATAGTGTTCAGTATTGTGTTTTCTCCTGAGACAGCTATGGTGAAAAGGACTTATCCAGGATCTTGGGTTTAACTTGATCTTTGTAGAATATCTTCTGTGGCTGAGTGATATGCGTGCAAAGAAGTTACTTTGCGTGATCTGGGGGCTATTCTCAATTACAGATCTTTTCCACATTTTCTGGGCAATCCATTTTTATGACAATCCTTGTATTGCTGGAGAGTTCGTTCGTATTGCTTCAGGATTCATTCATATTGCTTGATTCTCCTTTCTTATTTATTGTTAAGCAATAGGCAGGATCTCCAACTTTTATTCACTTGACTGATGTTAGCTCAGAGACGTCACATGAGTTCTGTTGGACCCAAGCATCTTAGGGTTTTAGTCTTGTGAAAAGTTGCAGGAACAAAAGTTTTCCTTTAAGTGCAGAATCACAGGATTAGATTCATGCTATTCACTGAGTGAGCACTGTGACATTCTGCAAGTTTTTATGTCCTTTGTTCAAGGTAATTATTTTCTGAAAAGCAATCGTTGTACCTTAAGTATTTTACATATGTGGTTTACAAATAGTACCTAAGATAGCTGAAAGAGATAAAGGGAGGAAAGAGATTCCTTCCCCTTTTTCTCTCCAGGTTTGTTTATTCCATTATTTTTTTCGTCATTCTTTTTTGTATGGTCTGCCCTATTGTTTTTTCTCTGTGATCTTCAGTAAACTCAGTGTCTTTGGTCAGTGTGGACAATCAGGCAAAAAAAAAGTTTTTTCAAAACAGGAATATAAACATAGAGCAGTCTTCAAACAGCCAAATGCACACAACAATTTACTGTCATCTCAGCTCATGTAGTCCAACTGACAAAGCTTTCTTGACCTGCCAGCACTGTAGTTTGAAAGCTTTATTGTTCAGTCCCTTCACCTATGAACAGCTGCATCTTAATGAAAGCAATAGGCGAGAAACGTATCCATAATATAATTATCTTCTATAGCAGTTTTTTTCAGAATATGTATAGAGCTGGCAGCAACTGAATTTAGTAATTTCAGATTTCATTGTCCATCCTGTCATGGGTTGAGGCTGAACGAAAGAAACACCACTGATGATCCAGTAGGTTTACATTTTGTAAGGGCCTAACAGAAAAAAACTCCTCAAGACAAAGAAAGGACTCGGGGTGTCCAAGGCCCTTCAGAAAAATGTCTCAGATGCTCTTAAATGGAGCAACTGGTGCCATACCTTGAGATACGCCATAAGATATGTGACTAGGGGATTTCCATGGGGCACCATGAGATGTGTTAATGGTGTGCTGAGGAGCCGACTGACCCTTATCCCTGGCATCAGCCAGGTTAAAGGAGCAATATTAAGGTGACTTCCGCCCTTACAGAAGACCCACAGTCTTTGTAATCTCTTTGTTACTCCGGATATTCCTCATTTACATATAAATTGGCTGCCACCCCCCACTCCACTTAGGCACGGAGGAGGGGTTGCCCGAAGCAACCAACATAAAAAAATGACAGCAAGCTATTGTTATGTGAGACTTCAGGACATCAGAGACCCCCCGCTGGCTGGCCCAACACCGGATCCA